AAATGCAGCCCGGTTTTGCAAACTTCAGCACTCTCCCCTGCCAGAAGGGAGCCTGTCCCTGCCCCAGCTCTGCTGCCCTGGCAGGAGGCACCCCGTTATTTCTACCTTGCCCTTCCTCTGTCACTCACCCCTGCTCCATGTCGGGAGCAAGAGAGATGCTGGAGTGCAGGTCCCATACAAGCAGGCATGGTCCCCACGGGATCCGGGTGCCTCAGGCTCCCCCCATGCCCAGACAAGTCCCCATTTGCATAGTCCAAATCAGCGAGGGAAGCGATATGGGAAACTGAGGCAGGAGAAGCGGTTGTCCCTTGCCTGCACATCATTGCATGTCCCTGCACCGCAGCTGGGTCCGTGCACCGAGCAAAGCACTATTGCCCCACGTCGTGGCACGAGCGTGGGGCAAAAACTGAGCGGAGATGCAGCAAGGTAAATTCAGTGTCCGTGCAAGCAGCCAGCTTGGAAACCAGCCCAAAGGATTGGGGGTCCCATAACCCACCTTCTGCCTGACCAAGCTGCCAGTGAGCACAGAGCACAGTTTGCAAGCTGCTGGTGCCCTCTAAAGGGAGAAGCAAAGGGAAAAATCCCCAGCAGCTTGGCCCCAGCGCAGCAGGACAGCCACCCTGCTGCAAGACAGATGTCTTCTGCTTCAGAAACAAGGCATGGATTTTGGCAGGGGGGGCTCCTTCCACCAGCAGCACCACGCAAGCAGCCTGGTCTTGCCCCTGCTCCAACCCTGCCTGCGAGAAGCCAGGGCTGCAGGGCAAAGGGACCTGATTATCAAAGCCCTGGTGAGCACAAGAAAGCCACAGAAACCCGGAGAGACACTTTAAGGGTATAAACTTGAGGCGGTTTTAATTTGCTTCTTGTCCTAGGGAGAGTTGTACAGCTCAAAGTGGCCAAAACAAATATGTGCTTCATCAGGACTGCGTTGTTCCTCAGCCCGCCAAGATTGCCACCCTGGCACGTCACCCACTGCAGGGGCCAGCCCATCTGCCGCAGCAGCCCCAAAACTCCATGCAATGGGGGCAACACCAGAAAATGGGGCTGTTTGCTGGGTCTGTGCTGCTTGGGAACAGGGAGGGGAGATGTACCCACCCTCCTGGGCTGATGGAGAGCAGATATTATGAGTGTGAGTGCTCCAGAGCAGAGGCTCACCTTCCTCTACCTTCAACATTTCTTATTAAAGACATTCAGAAATGTGGCAAAGATTGTCTGCACCATTGGCAGGGCTTAGGTGCTCATATGCTGAAAACATCTCCATTTCTCTTTGCATTAAACGGCTACTGAAACAGGGTCACCAGAACTGGCTGTTCAAAATATGTCCTGGAAAGGCCAAGATATTCTTGGTGCCTTCATGAGAGTGCTGGGGAGGTGGAGGGAGAAGGAGCCAGGAAAGTGATTGAAACGTCTCTTGCCTCTGTTACACTGGATGCAATATTTGCCAGCATGGTTTAAAGCTTGGAAAACCACCCTGGTGTTCTCAGGAAGGTTTCTTCACTATGGGATTCTTTTGCATCTGTTTTCATTTGCTTTCCTGTGCTTAAACCCTGCAGGGTGTATTCAGGCAGCCCTCTTTTCCCTGCCTGCAGGTCAGTCCTGCCAGGCACCGAATCTGCACCGTGCCCTCCACACACCACACTTCTGCACTTGAGGACGTGCTAGGCAGTGACAAAGCATGTCCCAGGCTAAAAATAGACCCCACGTTGGGTATTTGTGGTAAGATCACCTCCCCTGCCAGCTCCCTGCCAGGCAGCCCTTTGGAGGGGATGTGGAGTCATCTCCTGAGGACGGGGTTTGGTAACCCCTGGGCTGCCTGTCTGCTGCCATCACGTTTCAGGGACTGGGGAGAAGAGGGTGAGGTTTCCCCACGAAGGGGAACCACCTTGTAGGGTTTGGTGCTTGGACCGTGCTGTGCACGGAATAAAGACCAGGGGTTTCTCTACATGCCAGGGTGGCTGGAAGGATGAGTTTGTCTTAGAAGTCTTGGCCAGGGCAAAGAAAATAAGAGACATTTATCTGCGGCACTGGCTTCGATGTGCAGGGGAGCTCCAGGGAACTTCAAGGACAGGGTTATGGAGCTCCTCCAGCATCTGTGGGGAGGGGGCTGGTGATGCTGAGGGGCTCAGGCTGATGTCGAGGAGCTGCAGAGGGGTCTCACAAGAGTGTGAATAGGCAAAAAAAGTCTTCACTTGGCATCTAAAATGTTAGACTCTGAGTTGGCCGTGGTCCAGAGCCGTCAGCAAAAGGACGATTTGGGCTTGGCCACCTCGGGTGGGAGCTGTGAGCTGAGGAGAGCAGGCAGGGGTGCTCCATGAACCCCATCAGCCCCCACAAACCCACCAGAGAGCTCACAGGAGGAGGGTGAGGGGTGACATACCCACAGCCCCTCTCTGTCATGCAGGCGGGTGGGCAGATGCTCAGTTTCCACTCCTGCAGCATCCCTCCGCGTGCCTAAAAGCAATCTCAGGATCAGATCCTGGACCTGCAAGGGGTGACCCCTGTGATCTGCTGATCTCTACCCAGCCTGGCCCTCTGCACTAAAGATCTCAAACCTCTTGTTTAATTCAGGGGTCCATCGTGTGATACAGCACCCAGACAAGAACTTCCCCAGGACACCTCAGCAGCGATGCCTGAGTCAACATGCAAAGCCCTTCCAGGGAGACAAATGAAATTTGGTGGAAATGATGCCATTAATTAATTTTGTCTTATAGTTCAAATAAATAGATCTCTCTTGCTGTTTGGCCTTTGCACCACTGGCTCAAAGTGACTTTCTTCTTTGTGGCTGCTGCAAACATCCTTCCCACCCCATAAATGCTGCGTGGTTGATCTTGGCTGAGGAACAAGCCCTAAAAAGCATGCACAACTCTGTCTCACTGCGAATGATGACCTGACAGGAGTTTAAAGTGATTTTAGTAACGCACTAGAATACATGAAGACTTTCCCTGGTGTGTTAAACCCGAGCTTTTGAAGTGCTGCAGTAGTAAGTCCCCATCAGCTTGCTCTAACTGGATGAAATGTGCTGGCTGGGGAGTGAGGAGGAGATAAGTTTAAAAGGGTTATTTCACTTCAGATGTCAGCGAGTGGGGGAAAAAAGTCAATAAAAAGCTACGAAAAAAACCATCTCTAGGTTTCCAAAATAGCTGCTACAAAGAGCCCCTCATTGCTAAGCTACTTTTGTGTTTCGAATCAGGCATGGGAATCAGACAGGAGGCTGGTTATTAACCAGCTGAGTAAGGAAGAGCCCGGGGATGTGGCTGGGGTGGAATTGGGGCAAGGACGCAAGGCTGCTCCTGTCCCTGGCAAGGCAGCAGTGACCAGGGCTGAGCTGGACCTCCGGCCTCTGCCCTCCCAGCAGCTCCAAGCTGGGGAGGAGACGGACATCTGCCTGTAATGGTGCAGAAGTGGGGCCAGGACCCCTTCTCCAGCCCCGTGGGCAAAAGCCACAGGCTGACACGCAGGGAAATACTCTTCAGAGGTAAGCAGATATTTCTCAAACACTGGCACAGCTTGCAAGGGTGCTCACTGGTGGCCCAAAGGTGCCAGACCCCTCATGGATGGGTGGCATACGGGGACAGAGCCCCGGTCGTCAGCATCAGTGACAGACTCTGTCCGTGCCCTACCATGTCATCCACTTCCAAAATCACAGGAGAAAATATGTCTTCTCAAATAAATTAAGCAGGGCTAAGGCTGTGTGCTGCCCCTTGCCCACACTGGGACACTGTCCTACCAGCCCTGGCATGGCTTAACCCATCCTAACGTGCTCTCCACAGTGCATGAGCCCTCCCAGAGGATGGAGGAATTAAGCTCCCCTTCCTCCTAGCAAAGCACATCCTCCCTCGACTCATTGTCCTTGTAGTCAGTCATCCTGAGAGTAGTTTTCTTCCACCAGTTTCTCTGGTAGCTTTTTGAAACCATGTCAGATTTTGCTGTGCACAGCATCCTGGGAAGGGGACTCCAGTGGTTTGGAAGAATTACCCCACTGGGTTTGCTTTGAACCTGACAATGGCCACCTCTTGTGGTCCTGTTCAGCTCTTCTGCGGGATGAGACAGTGAACAACTGACCCCACCGACCCCCTGTCCTCTCTCTTCCAGGCTGATGGGCTCTGTGTTGCATGGCTGTTTCTTGCACGGACGCCACGTGGACCTCCAGCTGCTCCAATACCCTTCCCTGAACCTTCTCCCGCTCCAGCATCTTACCCTCTCCTGCTCCTGCTCCATCATCTCCTCCTGGAGGCAGGACAGCCATGCCATGCACAGGCAGCAGGGAGGGCAACCCCCCATAGGCTCCCAATGCTGCCTGCTCTGCTCTCCACTCTTTTCCTAATTATTCCTGGGGTCTGCTTTGCTTTTTTGGCCACTGCCAGCCACCCGCCTGCTGTAAACCCATGGTCTGGCTGCTGGGTGGTACCACTGGGCTGGGAACCCCATGGGTGATTTAGCAGCATCTTCCCCAGAGACCCTCCTGCAGCCTTGTCTTCGTTACCTGGATGATTTCATGCTGTCTGCAAGCTCATCATCCCGTCTGAGGTCACTGGTGACTATGCTGAAGTCTATGTGCTCTTCCCCACCATTGCAACACTTCAGCAGTCATCCCAACCCAGGCGAGAGGGTCCTGGGTGACCCCCCACCACCGCGAACAGAGCCCAGACTGGGACAGAGGTTCCCTTCACCCCCGGCAGATGCAGCAGCGTCCATGGGCAGGGACAGAGCTGGGGGGGCATTTTGCCTGCCAGACGGTGAGCCCGTCAAACGGAGCTAATCCCCTGCCTGCCCGCAACCTCAGCCCATTGATCATCCCAAATGGCAAGAGGAGCTGCGTGGTGGGCAGCTGCCCCCTCTCCTTGGAGGCCATGGACAAAGAGCATCCCTGCCACACGCGGCAGGTCCCCACGGCACACAGAGCCCGAGACAGCCGGCAGCTCCCTCTCCTTTATTTTCCTGTTGCTCCACTCCCAGCTGGAAAACTCGGTTTCCACCGCAGGCAGGGTGGACGCCAGCGGTTAGGCTCGGTACTCGAAAAAGCTGTCTCGGGTCTCTCTCTCTTGGGAGGTGACTCTCTTCCCCGAGGGGAAGGTCTGGTAGGTCCGCAGGTTCACCGGGGACACTCGCAGCAAATGCCAGCGGGTCTTCACACTGAGCGCTGGGCTGGGGAGCAACAGGGCACCAAGGATGGTTACAGAGGTGCAGGCAGCAGGTACGGAGGTGCAGGCAGGGGTTACGGAGGTGCAGGCAGGGCTCAGCCATAGGGGTGTGCTCCAAGGGCACTGGGGCACCTGCAGTCCTGGCACCGTTCACCCCAGCAGAGTTGCAGAAGTAGGCGAGCTTGCAGCCCCAAGAGAATTCTTCTTTTGTCCCCACAAGAGAACTTGTTCAATCTCACCTTGTGCAGGGCTAATGTAACCCCGGGGCTCCCAATTCCTGAGCTCCCGCTGGCTCTGCCTGCTCCTGAGCCCCTCACATGCACCCAAAGTCTTGCTGTCACGGATCGCATGGGCACAGGTATTGCTTACTGATCAGCGCAAGGAAAACAGAGGCAGAACTGGGATATTTTGTCTGTGCCATGATGCTGCAAGGCCAAGCGATGCTCTCCTGTTCGCAAACACCCACGACCTCCAGGCCACAAATACTAATGCAGACCACTGAATGGGGAAGGACCCTGGGGATGGGGAAGTGTTTGAAGGGATAGAGGGAAAAGACAGATTACTTTTGAGGCCACCACTGCTTGTGGCCTTTTGGGGACACGTTGCCTGTCCCTCCAGGAACAGGTCAAAGTCAAATCATTTCTGTGGACACGAGTCAGGGAGCAGCAAGGTCCTCAGCAACAAGGAGCAGGGGTGCGTTAGCAGCAAGTCAGGGTCAGGATCGGGTCTGAAGACAGTGTCCAGGGTCAGACACAGCCCGAGAGCCACCCAGCAGTGGGTAGGTCCGAGGTCAAGCCCAGATCCGGGTCCAGGTTGGAGTGGAGGAGGTCCAAGACTGGGCGCAGAGCCAGCTGTGGCACAGCTGCAAAGGCGGGGGCCGGTGATAAATGTGCGGCTTAAAAGCAGAACCCAAAGGAAAGGAGGTGCCAGCCATCACCTCCAGCTTTGCTCACAACAGCTCTTATCAGCGCTGGGGCTGACCTTGGCCTCTGCCAGCTAAACTCCTGGAAGGGGGATGCGCTCATGGCCCCGACGGCATCTGTTTTACTCCATCCGCTTTCATCTATCCTCCTCGTCCCACACATTTCTCTGCCTTGCCATGAGACCTGGCCTGGGTGAAGGACAGCCTCCCCCACTCCTGTTTGTTTTGGATGGGCACCGAAGGGTTGATATGAAAACATGAGCCGGCCTAGATAGCTACAGCACACAGCCAGGACGAAGCGCTCCATGCCCATCAATTAACCTCTTATTTAAGCAGCTTCTCGGAGCTCCACACACAAAATTTTGCAGAGTCCCAGGCTTCCAGGGCTGGCCATAGCCAAACTCACTGCTGTGCTCACAGCATGACCATGACTTCCCTTCTCGCAGCAAGGAGGGTCCAGCCACCTCCTGGGCTCTGCAAGCAGGAGAGCGGCTGGCGAGGCAGAGGCAGCATCCAGCCCCCCTGGTCGCTGCCTGCAGTGCTGTGGCCGGTCTTAGGCTCCTCTGTGCAAGGAAGACACGGACATACCGCAGCAAGGGCCACTGAGATGGGCTGGAGGACCTGATGTGGACCAACCCCACCTGGAGTCCTGCGTCCAGCTCTGGGGCCTCCACCATAAGAAGGACGTGGACCTGTTGGAGCGGGTCCAGAGGGGGGACACAAAAATGATGAGAGGGCTGGAACACCTCTGCTGTGAGGACAGGCTGAGAGAGTTGGGGTTGTTCAGCCGGGAGAGGAGAAGACAAAATTGTCTACGGCTACCTAAGGGCAGGTAGCAGAGAAGAGAGGATGTAGAGATACAGGAGGCTGGAGGATGCACCTTGAATTTCGAGGTGCACGGTGATCGGAGCAGTGATAGGCACAAGTTACAGCATAGGCAGATCCAGCCAGATATAAGAAAAATATATGAAGATATTTTCTCTGAAGATGAACGGAGGGTTTTTTCCTGGATTTTGCACTCCTGTTGGACCACAGGAACACAGCACTAGAGGGCACCCGCGTATTTCTGCGGGCGGCTGGCTCCAGCTGCCTCCCACCGCAGCTCAGCTCCCGGTCCTGGACTGGCAGCTCTGTAGGTGCATTTTCAGCCCATTTCAGGTGCTATATAATCATCCCAGGAGGCCAGTGTTGTGCTCAGAGCTCAAGGCAAGAGGCTATTTTGGATGCCAGCTATAACCCGCATCGGTCCAGAGCAACACGTTCCTCTGACAGCTCCCCTGGTCCTTGGAGGGTTGAGCAGGGCAGTGGGGGCTGTCAGTGCCATGGGTGTCCATGGGTGGTGGGAAAGGTCCCAGGGAGCAGCAGAGCCTGCAGGTATCCCATAGCAACGAGGAGGGGAGGAGATGGGACAGGGGGCCCCCAGGATGCTGCTCCAGTTTTTGTGAGGGCTGTGAAATAAATAAACATCCAGGATTTCAAACACACAGCCAGGAGGATGCTTGCTTTTAAAAAAAAAACAATCCTGGGACTGCTAAGTTGGGAAAGAAGCCTCAAAGCCTGGCATGCCTCCCACTTATTCTTTCCTTTCAAGTTAATCCGGTTTCTTCTGCTCTCATTTTTCTGAAGACAGAAGGTTTGGGTGAAACAGAGAAGGAGGATCAGGTATGGGGCTGGCACCCCCCCATACTTCTCCAGTTTCATCCCACTAGCCCAGACCTTGGGATTTGGGTGCCACCATGTCCTAGGGACTGTCCACAGGGCTGTCAGTACTCACAGGTCGAGTGGATGAGGATATCTCTCCTTTTCCTTCGAGGGCAGCACAAAGTAGGGAAGGACATACAGCATCCCGCTCTTGTCCCGGTAAAACTCACGATGCTGCTGGGTCAGCTGCAGATAAAAGCAAACGCCCAGGCATTTTGGCTGAGTTCAGTGTTCCCAGTCATGTTTGCACCAGCATTTTGCAGGGATTACTATTGCAAACCACATGGCAATCACCTCCCCGCTCTAACCATGCAGAAACACCGGTCACAGCCCTGCTCCCAGGCTGCCCTGCCTCAGACACTCGGGCTGCTGCGCTAACAGGCAAATTAATAAGCAGCATCTGTGTTCCCATCATTAATTTGGTGGCTTGGTTTGAATTATTCGTGATGCATTGTAAGGTGTCAGCAAGAAATGGGCCCTGCCGTGGCCGAGGGGGGGGGGGCTCCTGCAGCCAGCTGCTCCTCCTGCTTCTCAAATGCTGAGTTATCTCAGGTGCTTGTGCCCGCAGGTCTCTGCCCACCGCTCTGCGGACAGTGCCCGTTGCATTCAAGACCCTCACCCTGTGCCCTGCCCTCCGGAGACAGGGGCTCTGGAAGGGGCAGAGCTGGCTGCTGCAATGGGGGGCTGCTCCCCATGCAGCCCCTGGGAGCGGCAGCCCCAGGTGCCTGTTAAACATGCACGGTGCACTCCCCCATGCACACACACATGTGATGCCTGGGATTAACTCCCCCCCCCAGCCAAGGCTTGTTTCAGTTTTGTGAGCACCCGAACACTCGAGCTGCCTGGAATCAAATCTGGCTGCTGAGGGGGCATCCCTGCCTCCTGCCCGTGCATGGATTTCGGGCAGCGAGCCTCACCGTGTGCAGGCAGCACATGAGGGGTCATCTCTCTGCAGCCCCCAGCAGCCAGCGGGACCCTGTGGCCACCCTGGCTCCCCTCCACGGTCCCTTGTGTCCTCACCTGGTAAAACCTGCTCAGCTCCTGGGATCGACCGCCGTCCAGGCTGAAACGGGTGCGCAGTGGGGTGCACGGGTACGGGTCCCGGTCCCCTGCTTGGCATGCCATCACGGTCTGGGGACCCTGGGGGTATCTCATGGTGGCGTTCCCACGGGTGTTTCTGAAGGAAAACACTGCGTTCGGGATGTGCCTTCAATACCTGCATGGGAAATATGGTCAACGAGGGCCGTGCTGGGGCTTTCCAGGAGCAAGGAGCTCCCTTCTCCTCCCTCGATCTGCAAAATGCCTGTGGGAGCCAGCACCCACCTCTCTGGGTTTAAATAATGCCACTTTAGCAAAAAAACACATTTGATGCACAGTGTTGCATCTGAGGATAAACTGCTGCTCAAGGGATCCTGGTGATGGAAGAACGGTGCCCTCATGACCCAGGACATATCCTATTTTCATTTTCCCTTTTAAGCACCCTTCCTTGCATTTTAGAGGTGTCCCAGGCAGGGAGCTGCTGCCAGCAGAGCAGGGTTCGCCGAATCCCAGGCTGGCCATGCACCCGAGGAGTGGGAAAGGGGAGCAGCTGGTCCCTCTCCTGGCAGAAAACCTGCAGGAAGAGGGAGAATGAATGGGACCCCTCTATTCCAAGCATGCAGACCCCCGGCATCCAGGAAAGGTCAGCACGTGTTTTGGCCAGCTGTCTTCTGGTGGCCTCACCTTCCACAAACCACGGGGTTTCAGGCGAGGATGTGGTACCAAACTAGAGCTCATTCCTAACTTGCAGCTCACAGAGGGCTCAGGGCTGATGGGGAGATGCTGCAGAGCATCTGAGGGGACCAGTCTTCTGCTGGGACGGTCCCAGAGGCCCTCTGATGCTGCCTCCCATAAAGCAACCAGGAACCTCTCTCAATCAGGGAACAGCCCCACAGATGCCCCCTTTCCAAAACCCAGGGCCGGGCTGGGGCAGGGAATTCATCAGGATGCGGTGCTGGCTGGCCCTGAGAGCAGGGGAGGGCTGTACAGACTCATTTCTACCACTTCATCTGCCCCATAAAGACGTTATTTGGAAGTTCCCTTAGCTCTTTGCACGCTCAGAGCTGAAAATCCAGTTACCACTAATAATGAGTGGTAAAAAAATAAACTATATTTGCCCCTTCAGCCACCCTGGAGAGCTCACAGGACTCTCCGTGTGTTCCCAGAGCGTGGATATATGTCATTATTCTCCCTCCAGCTTCTCGCAATGGCCGTGAGCAATTGGGTTTCCTGCAAAGCCTCATGTGTCGAGACACTGCCGTGTTTCACAGCAGTCAGTGGAAACTGCTTCTTGTCACCAAGTAAACTCACCCAAGGCATATTGGAGTTAATTTTCCTGCAGTCTGAGATTCTTTGCCTATAACCTGAAACCAGTGTTTCAGCTGGTGCAGGAGACCTTGGCTCTGAGCACAGAGCTGTACCATTCTGCAAAAGCCAGGAGGAGAAAAGGAATATCTAAGGGAAAAACAAGGAAATATAACCCTTTCCCCTTGCTGCCAGGGCAGAGAAAACAGAGCTGCCAAAGAAAGGAGATAACTGAAGGTGAAAATCAATGACAAACTACTTAGCGCATCCCCTGGTCAATGAGACCCCGGAGTTCGCTGAGTCCTGTGCCTTATGCCCCCCTCCCCAGTGATGCTGCCGCAGTTGTTTTTCGAGTCTGTGTGGATGAAACCACTGTCCTGCTGCCTGCCCCGCAGGGACTGGGCTTGGTGGCCCCAGCAGCCCCCTGTGCTGAGCCCAGTCCCTGCCCGGTCCTGCTGCGGGGACAGCACTAACACCCAGCAGACACCCCAGGTACAAGCACAAGTTCATTTGTCTGGCAGACAGCAAGATTCCAATTAGCATTCTGGGACAAACACAGGACAAAACCCCCCAGCTTTCCCATCCATTATACGCGAGTTTTTCTGCCTGACCCTGCCCAGTTCCCATGGTGTAGCTTGAACCAGGAATGACAATTTGCACACCACAAATTTGGCTCATATTTGAAAAAGATTGGGTAACAGGGGTTTTGCTCATTTAAGGACTCAAATGATTTTTCACAAGATAAGGTCATTAATATGGATTCCGCTTGCCATGGCCACTGGTGCAATAAGGCCATCAGGCCACCAGTGGCCAGACCCAGCCCAGCATCAACCGGCCACAGTTTGCTTCACCTGATCCGCAGCACATTTAAATACCCTGCCTTTCACTGAAAACACCCTCGTTCACCAACATACAGGACGGGAGCGCCCTGCTGGCCCGTTCCCTCTGCTCAGCTCTGGTTTAACAGCCAAATAACGAGCATTTCTCTTCTCTGAGCCTCTTGAGACACAAAGGGGATGACGTGCAGCTGGTGACACAGCCCTGCAATGCTGTTCACCTCTACGGGTATCAACGGGCCACAAACCCAAAGCAAAGCAGTAAAGACAGACATCTGATATGCAAGTACCCTGCTGCTTGCCACCCTGGGAATAATTGTGTGAACAGGTACAGGTGCCAAAAAACGCAGGATGCAATTTAAGCGTGCGAGCACCCATGCAGCCAGGGCACCCAGCCTGGAGCCCAGGGCAGGCAGAGCAGAGCCCAGCGCCCGAGCATCAGGCCCTGCAGCTCAGGGCGTTTGGGTGTTTGTCTCTGCAGCGTGGCTGCAGTTTGCTGTTTGCCAGAGCAGCTGAAGAAGAGAAAAGGTGAAGCATTTGGCAGCAAACCCACTTTGGGGTTGAAGCCGTCAGATGTGAACTGGGAGCGGGCTGTCAACCAGAGCGCTGGATGGCTGAATGATGCTCTCGAAAGACCAGAGGAAAAAATTTGTATACATATACATATAAAAATAAAATATGTATATATCTCCTACAAATATAGCTCTGCCTGTAAAGGAGAAATGGACTCCAGCAGCCCAGAGAGAAGCAGCCAGAGGGATGGATGCCAGCCACACACATAACCCCGCCAGCAAGGAGCCCGTGGGTGCGGGTGCACCTCCTGGGTGCACGGGACACGCAGCCTTGGCACCCGGCCTGGCTTTATACCAGGGGAAAGCTGCCGGGGACAGGCATTGCCTGCCCAGGGCAAGGGCATCCCGCGGCAGTTTGGACCAGCCCTGGCTGCAGCAGGAATCTTTGCTTACACGAAACAAAAGGAGACATGAAAGCAAACAAGAGAAGGAGGGGGAAATATGTGATGATGGGAAGGGGCCGGGGAAGCTGCCTCACCCGAGAGGGCAGGACGAGCTGAAACTCTCTTAGGGAAGAGACATTTGGGGTCTATCGGGGAGAGGAAAAGCCCCCAAAGTCCTTCCAGGACCAGATGGGTGTTTTAGCAGCGTGCACTTGAGAAGTCTGCCTCTCTCAAAGGCTGCATGCATTATTCACTGCCCTCGTGCGATATGCATGAGGAGGTGAGAAAATCCACTGCTCTGTCCCTCTACAACCCCCGATAAAGAAGACAACCCCTGACCCGTGTAAAACAACCCGAGGAAACGCGCAGATGTGGGGTTGCAAGAGCAGAGCAGTCAGGAGATGGAGTCCCTGCAGTACTCAGCTCTTACAGCCCGTCTTAAACGCAGTCCGGCCATAGGAAGGGTGCAGGGTGCCTGGGGCAAGGTCCCAGGATCCGTGAAGGGTTCCTGGGGCAGGGTGCAGGACCCGTGAAGGGTGCAGTGTCCATAGGGCAGGGTGCGGGGTCCCGGGGTGCGGGTCTGGTTGTGCTCAGCCCCTACCCGCTGCCAGGCGTGTCCGGGCTGTGGAGGGTCTCTGCCTTGCAGCTGCCCCCAGAACTGTCCTGGTGGTTTCTGCCTGGCCCAGCCACATCACAAACACCGTCACTGGGCAACGGTGGGAGTCCAGCACCCCCCCGGCCCCCTCTGCAACCCGCCGGGACCCTGAGATACCCCGCACCCCCCTCGGCACCCACTCTTGAACATGTTCTGCACCCACCGCTTGCACCCAGCCAGCCCTCACCGCTGCGCCCACCCCAGGACCCTCTGCCTGCACCCCCTGCCCTCGACTCTCCTGCTGCAGGGGATCCAGAAATATCCCCAGGTTTACATTTTGTTAGGCTTTGGGGGTTTTTTTTTCCCCAGCTCCTTGTGTAAGGGGAGTAGTGGGCTCTGTTCCTGCCCCAGGAGGGCAACCAGGGACCTGTCCTGGAAAGGCTTTGGGAAGGGTCAGTTGCCTATAAAGAACCAATGTAAAAAAAATAATTGCACACAGAGATCTGCATGTAAAATAATCTTTGCTTGTAAGGGGCACTGGAAGGTGTGGGAATTGGAGGGGCTGTTCTTGATTTGTATTTAAGGTCTGAGGTATTTCAAATAAAATACAAAAAAAATAGCAGGAAAGAAAAAGAGAAGGAAAGAAAATAGAAATCCAGGGGCTTTCAGCACCCGCCTCACGCTAGGACATGACAGTGCCAGCTCTGGAGAAGGTCTCCCAGCCGCTTTCTCTCCCAGCTGGGTTGTGAAGCAGAGGCGTGTGTTGGTCTCACCAGGTTATGCAGCCTCAGGTTTCAGCATTTCCAAAAGCCACGTGCCATTGCTTCCCTCGAGGACGGATCCACTGGGGAGTCGATGGGCTGCTCCCAGGTCAAGCCGTGCATCCCCGTGATCTGGACCCCGCGGCTCAGTGGTCGAGCTGGACAGGCTTCTGCTGCCATCTTCTCTAGTTCTCAGTGAGACATGGATTCAGCCACCGTGGGACTGGGGAGAAACTGGTGGGGTGGGATCCATCGCTGGGAGTTTGCTGCAGGGATGGGAGACCTCATGCAGAAAACCACTGCGTGTCCTTACAGCTGGCTCCTCTCTGAGAGGCGAGATGAGGTAATCTCGGTTTGCTAATTGCACCGAATTCAAGAAAGTGGGAAACCCCCCATGTCAGAATTAATAATAATAATAACAATAAAAAAATCCACTCATTGAGAGCTGCTGCATTGCTACAGCTGCTGAGTAACAAGTACAGCTCTGGCATTTAAGAAGGAATGAGAAGGTTGTCTGGCTCCCTGTGGGCTTGTGACCCGGCATCCGCACAGCTTTCCAATCCGTCTCAGAGGATACAATGGGAAGATAAGAAAGTAAACGGAAAATGATGCAAAAGGCCAGACGGATTTACCAAAAGTCAGTCCTGCTAGACTGACTATATTGC